AGAAACATTGAAAACATGCGTTGCATGCATTAGCTCCCACAAAGCATTTGGCCATGCACTCACCATCCTTTCCCCATCCGCCCGCGTGAATGTCGCATTCCTCATGTTTGTGGTGTGCAGTGCAAATGACAACAATTGATACAAGATTGTGCAAAAGAGGATGGACAATGCATCTCGCAACTTCGTCTTTATCAAAGAAGGAGACGGCAGCCTTGACGCGTATCATCCGCGAATACGGGAAGAGGTATCCCGTAGCCACCACACACGACGTATACATGAACGAGGTGTTGCAACTCACTCGCAACGATTTCCTTTTACTCGCTGTAGAACGTTAGTGGTTAAACGACAATGTCTTCAACTTTTACCTCAATCTCATAGCATTGGACAACTGGTGTAGAATACAACACGTAGAATGCGACGCGGAGAATAAGATAGTTATTAGAGAAGGAAAGGGTCGCATTCCTAGAGTTTCGGTGCTGAGCTCATTTTTGTTCGTCAAACTTTTCGACAATGAAATGAGATATAGAGGTCGAGAGGTAGAGCGCTGGTGTCAAGACGTTATCATAAGTGACATTGACTTGATTATTGCTCCTTTCCATATCGAACACAAGAACCACTGGACCCTTGTCGTGGCTGACTTCAGGAGGAGGAAATTCGAATTTTACGACTCCCTCGACCCCGACATGGAGTTAGCGAGAAAGGTGACCGGCGGGTTTGCAAAGTTTATATTCGAAAGATCGAAATCACAAGGCAAAGAGGTGGTAACGAAACTATTCAATCACATATGGAATGTAGAGGGCATTCCGAAGCAACACGACACGAACGAGTGCGGGGTCTTTGTGCTAACGTACGCATCACTGTTGGCACGGGCCCAACTTCCACCTTTCTTTTTCACTGCTGATGATATACCCGCGATACGTCGTCGAATGGCTTTGGGCACAGTGGCTCGTGAGTAGTGTGTATATGATAATCCGTAATATGATTTGGAGGGGGGGCGGATGCCACAAGATGGTTTGTGACAAAAACAATGTATATAAGGTGCCAAATATTACTCGATACGTTGTGCCACTTGACCCTTGCAATTTACCACATATCCCTTACACCTCACCAATTACACCTTACCCCGTTCACCTCACACCTTGCCCCTTACACCTTACCCCTTACACCTTACCCCTCACCCCTTACACCTTACACCTTACACCTTACACCTTACCCCGTACCCCATACACCAAACATCTCTTTGTAATGGTTTTTGCACCTAAATCAGCTCAAAAATAACAATTTCAATTTCGTTCAAAAAATATAAAATGTCCGTTTTGACGAAATCGCTGTTATTGGAACCAGAGCGTTATGAGGGAGTGGGAAGAGACTTGGGAATTCATAGGTTGGGCGCAGGGGAATTGATGGGTCCACTAGGGTCCAATCGTTGAATTTCAGCTTATAGTTTCTTTTGAGGACTTGATCCTCCTTCGTCTCAGTACCCTCTCATTCCACCCTCCCTATTTTTCCTCCTTTGCCCCCCCCCAGCCAGTTGCTGCTGAATTGTTGGAATAATTGAGAGATTTTTTTTTTTTGATGAATTGGACTGGATTTTTTCTTTAAGGTTGGTCCATAAATCCCGTATATGGGTTTGAATTTGTTGTTTGATGCTGTCAGTGAATTCGGGGTCGTCAAGTCTAGCATCCTCCCATTCATATGTGTTTCTTCTCTGCCAGATGGCCCAAAGTACTGCTCTTCTTCTTAGGATGAAAAAGTTCTGAGTGAAACTATCCTCTGGTCCGGAGACCAGTGTTCGAGCAGAATTGCTTTCCACCCCCATGGTCATTCATGTGTAGTTTCTAAATGTTCCCAGATTCTACCCCACCATCGCCATAGCCAGATGGAGCCAGGGCAGTCGAGAAAAATGTGCTCGATTGTTTCCGGTATTTTCTTGCTTGAATACGCAGATTTACAGAGTTTGCACCAGGGGTCTATAATTCCTCTTTTTTCCAGGGAGGATCTATCTGCCAACCGGTCTCTTGTAGGGAGACACTGATGTTCTATCTGCCATTGAAGGGAGGCTACCTTTGAAGGTTTGATCTTGGAGTCCTTGAACCATTGGATGTTTCTGAGATCTTCTTTGTTAATATTCAATTGTTTCATCCATCTCTCCACCACCCTATCTTTGAGATTGAAGTTGGGGCTAAGCATTCGGTAAGTTGACTTGACCGATAGCGTGTGTAAGTGTCTGCTGAAATTCCTTTTGAGCTTGTTTTTGGTTCCCCATGACCAGATTTGAGATGGGTGTGGATGGCCTGAAGGCGAGATATGACTGTGCGCCTAGTGAGAGGACTCTGGTTCTGAAAATTTTCCCCATATAAATCCAATAAGGGGCCAAGTCATTGTTGAGGGTTAATACATTATCCTCCCTTAATGCCCCTGGGGCGATTAATGCCTCATTGTCCGGGGATGTAAGGATGACACTACCTATCTTTCGAGGTTCTTCTATCGTAACAATCCAATCACTTTCCCGTAGTTTTTTTCCTCTCTTGAGTACTCTGAACCATTCAATGGAAATTAGTTCTATAATCTTATCTAGATTATCTTGTAAGTAGTGGCAGTGTTTTAGTTTTTTTTGGAGGTGGTGAGGGGAGACCCAGTCCCGAGATTCGTCATCCCAAATATCCTTGATCCTTATAACCCCCCTCTTAATTCAACTCTTCCATGGGTTATCATTACAGTGTAATGTGGTTCCTTGGTGGTCTCTGATCCAGGTGTTATTGAATGATGGTTGTTGGTTAATCTCCTCCCATCGTTGTGGGAAGTGTTTATCCGGTATAGGTTGTTTCTCCAGGTTTTGAGAATAGTAGGCCAGAAAGAGTCATTGGTGATGTCCTTCCTTGCTGCCTCCCTGATAGACATTTGGCTTGGGTCTACCTCTTTAGTCGTGCCTCT